TCCTATCCCTGCTGGTGCTCAAGGAGCGTGCCCTGCACAAGGCTCCTTATTACTTTCTACTGGACCTGTGCCTGGCTGACGGCATACGCTCTGCTGTCTGCTTCCCCTTTGTGCTGGCTTCTGTGCGCCACGGCTCCTCATGGACCTTCAGTGCGCTCAGCTGCAAGATTGTCGCCTTTATGGCCGTGCTCTTTTGCTTCCATGCGGCCTTCATGCTATTCTGCATCAGTGTCACCCGCTACATGGCCATCGCCCACCACCGCTTCTACGCCAAGCGCATGACACTCTGGACATGCGCAGCTGTCATCTGCATGGCCTGGACCCTGTCTGTGGCCATGGCCTTCCCACCTGTCTTTGATGTGGGCACCTACAAGTTTATCCGTGAGGAGGACCAGTGCATCTTTGAGCATCGCTACTTCAAGGCCAATGACACGCTGGGCTTCATGCTTATGTTGGCTGTGCTCATGGCAGCTACACATGCTGTCTATGGCAAGCTCCTCCTCTTCGAGTATCGTCACCGCAAGATGAAGCCAGTGCAGATGGTGCCAGCCATCAGCCAGAACTGGACATTCCATGGCCCTGGGGCCACCGGCCAGGCTGCTGCCAACTGGATCGCTGGCTTTGGCCGTGGGCCCATGCCACCAACCCTGCTGGGTATCAGGCAGAATGGGCACGCAGCCAGCCGACGGCTCCTGGGCATGGACGAGGTCAAGGGTGAAAAGCAGCTGGGCCGTATGTTCTACGCAATCACACTGCTCTTCTTGCTCCTCTGGTCACCATACATTGTGGCCTGCTACTGGCGAGTGTTTGTGAAAGCCTGTGCCGTGCCCCACCGTTACCTGGCAATCGCTGTTTGGATGAGTTTCGCCCAGGCTGCTGTCAACCCAATTGTCTGCTTCCTGCTCAACAAGGACCTCAAGAAGTGCCTGAGGACTCACGCCCCCTGCTGGGGCACAGGAGGTGCCCCGGTCCCCAGAGAACCCTACTGTGTCATGTGAAGCAAGCTGGTAGGCAGACAGGCAGGGAAAAGGTCATGGCTACCGTGATGGGGCCAGCAGTAAGGGAAGGGTGGGCCCCACACAGGAGCCTTTCTTTCTGAGCTCCAGCCCTAGCCCCTCGAACCACCTGGAATCTAGGCACCTTTGCCAACACCTCCCCAGGGTTGGAGCCTGGAGTGGGAGACTGGGAAAGAGGTGTTTCTAATTCTGTGGGGCCTGTCTTCCCCTGCCTCCTTCTCCACTTCTACAATCTCTCTCCTTTCTTATCTCTCTCTCTTTCTTCCTCTTTCTCTCAGAAGTGACAATTCAGAAAAAGAAAACAAGACTGAAAATGCAGGTTTTTCTACTAACAGCTGAGGATACAGGCTTTCTTGCTTTAATGTCTCTCCTTCTGACATTGTCCAGAAGGCAGAAATTTGTCCTGTAAAATAGACTTCCAGAGCTCTTATTGCCCCCTCTGCTCCCATGCACCCTCCCCTCCTGGGTCCTTTAGCAAGGCCTGGATGTTTAGGGAGAAATTCATCTGCTTACAACAGGGACCAAAGGGGGTGCTGGGTCCCCAGGGAGCAGAGATGTTTAATTGCTATGTTGTGTGCAATGTTGTTTTAAGCTAACCCTGGTCCCAAGCCTGGTTTCTTCTCCCTTCCTACCATGTCCAGACCTCCTAAATGTTTCTTGAGCAGCTGTTCAAGAAGCCAGAAGCGGAGGGAGAAGGACCCCTAGGATGGGCCCAGGCTAGGACCTGGGATGTGAGCTGCACGCCTCAAGCTGAAGAGACCCAAGCTTGGCTGCATTCTTTCTAGCTGCCTCCTGGATCCCCAGCCCCCAACTCCTCTTCCTGAGGATGGAAATCCACTCCAGCCCCACTAGGGCTGATGTGGGTGCCATACAGGCAGGAGCATTCCCCCAGGGAAGTGTAGGGAGAGAGCCAAACTCCCCAGAGTAACTGGATCCCAGTGCCTGGGGTCAGAGCAGAACTCAACCCCAGAATTGTCTCCTGGGTTCACACTATTCTATGGAAGATGAAAAGTTAGGGGGTGGCCTTGGTGTAACACATAGTGGTATAAGCTCCAAGGCACTGTGGACTTGAGTCCATTCCTATCTGACCTCTTTTTGTCCCCTTCAAGCCTCAGGGGCCTCAAGCCCCTCTCGGTAGCCCTTGGCCTCCTGGGCCCTCAGCCCACAACTTCCTTCCCCTGAGCAGCCTTCTCCCCCTTCCTCCCTCCACCCAAAGTGGAGCAGACTGCAGCCAGATTCTCCAGGTGGGAGAGCCCAAGCCTCCCTTCCAGGGCAGAGTCCACTCTGGGCTTACATCACTGCCAGTTCTTATGGACTGGTGAGCTAAGCTGGCATTCCTTTGCCTGGCCTTGCCCAGATTCTTTGTCCCCCTATCATTTCCTGGGGGAGTGGGAGATCTGTATTTATCTACGCCCTTTCCCTTCCTGATAGAAGCTGTTGTCCTAAGCTCCCTCCCCATCCCCAAGACAGCCCCAGAACTGGGGAAGCCTTGACCCAAGAGGAATGGGGAGGGCAGTATAGGCAGGAGAGACGTTAATGAGCCTGGCTATGGGGTGGCCCTGGAAAGGCAGGCCAGAGTGGCTGAGAGGCTGGGGTGAGGGTACCTGTTCTCTCAGTGATAGTGATGGGAGTGCCTTTCCCAGGGAGTGGGGTGGGGGGACCACAGGGGTGGGAGTAGATAGGGTACATTCTGGAGGGTTTTCCTCCATTTCTTTTTTCTAACTGCCTGGATTCACGATTGGATTTTGTAAATGGAAAACTGAAAAGAACAATGCTATATTGGATGTTTTCTCTTTCTGACTGTGTGTGTGTGTGTATGTGTGTGTGTGTGTGTGTGTGTCCTGTTTGCATGACCACATGTGGGGAGGTATGATTGAATGGGACTGTTTCTATGTGACTTTGTGTGGGAAGGCACCACTGCCTGGTGCACACATGTGAGCAAATGCCTGTATGTGGAGACATATAGCACACACACACACACACACACACGTATGTACCTAATTAAAAGAAGACAAAGGAAAGTATGTGCCTGCAGTAGGAAGTAGAGTGGTCAGAGCATAGAATTTTTAAAATGTACGTATGTATGCAGCAAGAGGGTGGGCTTCCATCTCGTAAAATCTTCCTCCTGTGGCCCAGGCTCTGAACACGGGGGACAGGATACTTGAGAACCCCACCTCTTCCCAAAGCCTGGAGCCCCCAGGTACCATTCCAACTTCTGTATCAGTCTCCTCTCCAAAACGCACACAAGGTGTTCCTAAAAGTGGACCACTTTGGAGAATGGAGACTGGGATTTGGGGATCACAGTTGAGGGGGAACTAATGAGGTTAGAAAATGCCCCCTACAAAGTAATGGCTTCTGGAGGGGCTATTCAGTCTGGGATGAGAGCCCTTCTGAAGAAGGTTCCCACTGTATACAGCTGGAACTTCGGTATAAGCTTTGACTAAATTCGGAGGAGGCATGTTACAGGGTGGGGGAAAGCCAAGCCGGGGAGTCTACCCAGCTAGCTTGCTCCCTGGGCACTCACTTTACTATTTATTTACTTATTCTCTCAAGTGCACAGAATTGAGTTGACCATACTCCTCAGTTCTTGGCACACTACATCATCGTTGGTCCATGTGAGTCCCCTTTATTCTTTGTTTTGTTTCATACCCTCCATCACCCATCCCTGATCCAATCCCGTCTCCCACATACGCACTCACTCTCGTGTATTTAATGTATGTCCTTCCAATTCACCGTTCATGTGTTTATTTGCATATCTGTGTATCTGTGAAAAATATATGGTATTGTTATGTGTTTAATTTACATAAACAGTATTGTACTATAAATCTTGTTGTTTCTTTTTTCACTCAACATTCGGTTTTTGAGAGATCCAGCCTTGTTGCTGCACGTAGATCTAATTCATTCTAGTGGTCCATCTTCTACATATATCACATTTTTCTTATCCATTCCCCTGGTGATGGGTCTCTAAGCTGCCTCCAATTTTATGCTACCACAGAAAGGCTACAATGGGCAGTTTCCTACATGTCTTAAGGATGCCTAATTTAGAGGAAAGGAAACTGAAGCTCAGAGAGAGGCAATGATGTGGTTAGGGTTACAAAGTAAGGAGCAGACCCGTGGTGTGAATCCCAGACCTAAAGTCAGAACCCTACCACCATGGCTCAGGAAAGACCATCCATCTGGCCCCCCCGAAATTTAAAATACAATTAAAAACAGCATACACTGGGGAAAAGGTGAGGAAAAGATTGGAAGGAGACCAAGTATTCAGTGGATGGAGAGATATAAAGTCCTAGAAAAATGTAGCAGATGAACGGAATCGCAATCATTTTAATGACGCAGAGAAAGTTACTTTTTGTGTGCGATTATTTCTAGAGCAATTTTGCAGAGATGAAAACGCCACGTCAAAACCTGGCCCCAAACCATAGGTCCTAGCCTATTCTAAATTCCAGGCTCCTTTAGGGCAACCCTATCTCTGGGGGCCACATCAGGGTTCGCCACAGGGGCTAATGCCAGGGCTAGGGGAAAGGGCAGATTTAAGAAGTGCGTAGTTGCTGAGGGGAGGGCAGAGAAGGGGGAAGACGACAGCGAGGCTCTCCCAATTTTGTTTGAGCACATTATGCTCAGAGCCTGCGTTTGTTTTTTTTTTTGTTTTGTTTTTTGGTCTTAAGAGCCACTGGTACTTTTCCCATTGGGTGAGGGAGAGGGGCTCCTTTCCCTTAGCTTTCCTCGCAGCCAATCGCCCAGCAGTTTCCCTTTAGTCGCTGGGGCAGTCAGCCCGATGATTGGCAGGCCCAAGTGAAGCCAATCGGAAAGCGATGAGGTGTGGTGTTGGCAAGCGGATTGCGTGAGAGCGGGCAGAGATCGAGGGAGCGCAAGCGACCGGCGGCGGCTGGCAGCCAATGGAGAGACAAAACGGTCCCTTACATCAGGGAGGGGGCGGGTCCTGGACGCTTGGCGCGGAGGGAGTAGGGCAGGCGCCGTGGGAGGAACGCCAGAGCGAGGCTGTGAGCTGAGCTGGTTGCGTGAGGTCCTGCGGCTCGGCTTCAGGTGTGACAGGCAGCGGCAGCCTGGCTGAGAAGAAGAAGCCAGTGCGATCCCCTGAGCTGTGAGCGCGGTCACCATGGACCGCCAGGATGAGGGGCCTCCAGCCAAGGCCCGCCGCCTGAGTAGCTCAGAGCCCACTCAGCTTGACCAGCTGCCGCCGCCGCCGCCTCCACCTCCGCTCCTGCGACTGCCCCTGCCTCCACCGGAGCAGCGCCCGAGGCTCCGGGAGGAAACCGAGGCGGCACAGGTGCTGGCTGACATGAGGGGGGTGGGACTGGGCCCCACTCTGCCCCCGCCGCCGCCCTATGTCATTCTGGAGGAGGGAGGGATCCGCGCATACTTCACCCTGGGTGCTGGGGGTCCCGGCTGGGAGCCAGCGATGGAGTCAGGGTTCGGGGAGGCGCCCCCTCCCACGGAGAGCCTAGAAACATTCTCTCCTTCGGAGGCTTCTGGGGGAAGTCTGGAGATTGACTTTCAGGTTATGGAGCCTAGCAGTTTTGCTGGAGAGAAGGCCCTAGAAACCTGTAGCGCAGAGGAGTGGGGGTACCAGGGGTTAGCTGGTCCGAGGGGGAAGGAAGAGGCTATCATCTTAGTGGAAGATGACGACGAGGATGAAAAGGAAAGTGTGAGGAAGAGGAGGAGGAGGAGGAAGAGGAAGCAGAGGAAGGTGAAGAAGGAGAGCAAGGAGAGGAATGCCGAGAAGATAGAGTGCATCCTGCAGGCACTGGAAAACATTCAACTGGACCTGGAGGCGGTGAACATCAAAGCAGGCAAGGCCTTCCTCCGTCTGAAGCGCAAGTTCATCCAGATGAGAAGACCCTTCCTGGAGCGCAGAGACCTCATCATCCAACATATCCCAGGCTTCTGGGTCAAAGCAGTATCCTTGTCATCTGTATTCATGGGCCAAGAGCCCATAACAAAAAAGGGGGGAGGTGGGGAGGGGAAAGAAAAAGTGTGGGGGTGGACCCCTTTTGTAAAAATGACTAGATTTGGTTGGAGGAGGAATGGAAGGAGAGGGGCAAAACATCAGAGAAGCTGGACTAGAGGTAATGAAGGGGGGAGAGGGTCACATAGCATAAAAACTGGACTACAGATGGGAAGGAGGGGAGAAGAGAAGCATAATATAAAAAAAATGAATCACAGGCAGTGAAATGGGGAGGGTATTAGAGGGTCACACAGCAGAAAAATTAGACCAGAGATGGTGAAAGGAGGAGGGGAGGGGCACAGAGAAGATAAACTGACTCAGAGATGGTGAAGAGGGAGGGGAAGGGCACATAACAGAAATTGCCCAGAAAGGGTGCCTAAGTCACACATGGCTCTGCAAGGCTAGATCTCTGCTTAGATATTAGGGAGATCCCAGTCTTAGCTGGAGAGAAAGGGGCCAGAGCCCCTAAAGGCTCAGGCGAAGGGGTACCTATAATTGAAGATCATGGAGTTAAATTAAGGGAAGAAGAGAGTAAGAAGAATCTCATTCACTGTTGGTGAAAAGCTTATCTCTGGGGCACATACATGCGTACATGCAACACGTTAGGAACATGTGATCTTAACTTCCTGGTGGAATTACATAGATATAGACCCTTGGCATTCTCCTACGAAGTATCACATGATCACAGGCTGTCAGAACTCACGCACACAGTATTATGTGGCCACAGATCCTCAGCATGCAGACACAGCATCGTGTGACTATTGGTCTTCAGCACCCAGACACAGCATCACTTGGACACAAACCCTGAGACCCAGATACGCAGTATCATGTGGACACAGACATGTAACACCAAAATGACCAACATCATGTGACTACAGGCCCTAAGCAACTAGGTGTAACATCACTTGGGTATGGGCCTTTAGCTCCCAGGCACACAATGTTTCCTGAATACAAATTCTCAGCACCCAGGGACACAATGTCACAGAGACAGAGACCCTTAGCGCCCAGACATACAGCAAATATGAGCCAAGGCAAGGCAACCAAATACAGAGGTTTGACATTGCATAAACATAGGCTCACCACATGGGAAGAAATGTGTGGGTCATGTCCCATGACCATTTGCTCCACACACATCTCATGAACACAGAAGAAATTCTGCTCCAGCCTCTCTTTTGCTCTTCCCTGCCTGGCCTTCCCTCCCTCCTTCTCTCATTGAACAGTCACTCCTTGACCTAAACTGCTCCCTCCATCAGTTCCTCAACCACCCCAAAATTTCAATCTTGATCAACCAACGAGATGAAGACATTTTCCGCTACTTGACCAATCTGCAGGTCAGGCCAAAGATATATTTCTTACTAGGATCGGGCAAGGACTCTGGCCTTTGGAGGTGAGGGGGCTTGGGTGGGAGGGGCCTTGGTGTGGTGGGGATTCCAATGTTACCTGTACCCTGAGCAGGTACAGGATCTCAGACATATCTCCATGGGCTACAAGATGAAGCTGTACTTCCAGACAAACCCCTACTTCACAAACATGGTGATTGTCAAGGAGTTCCAGCGCAACCGCTTGGGTAAGAGGCAATCCTAGGGAAAATCCATACCCCACCCCCATCTGTCCTTGTCCACAGCCTTCTCCATAGCTTCCTTTTCCCCCAGGCCGGCTGGTGTCTCACTCTACCCCAATCCGCTGGCACCGGGGCCAGGAGCCCCAGGCCCGCAGGCACAGGAACCAGGACACCAACCACAGCTTCTTCAGCTGGTTCTCAAATCATAGCCTCCCAGAGGCTGACAGGATTGCTGAGGTAGGGCCCCTCCTGGCATTGCCAGAGGAAGCCTTGCTAGGCTTGCCTCTGGATACTGGGGAATTGGGAGTAGGCCTTGTGGCTTGTACTCGTAACTCTGTTCCCCTCCCCCACTTTTCTTTCCACAGATTATCAAAAATGACCTGTGGGTTAACCCTCTGCGCTACTACATGATGGGAGAAGGGGGCTACAGGGCAAACAGAAAGAAGCAAGAAAAGGAAGAAAGGTGAGTGGGGTTGGTGGCTGAGAAGTGCTTTGTTAGAGATGGGAGGAAGATTAGGCTAGTGTCACACAGGTTATAGAGCCAAAGGGACCTTTGAGAGAATTCGGTCCAATACATTTTGCAAGTGGGGAATGATGCCCCTAAATGGGATGGGATGTAATTGGCTTGAGTCAGTCAGGAGCAGAAATGGGACTTTCCCCACCCTAACCTCATCCCTGGGATTCCTCATAGCCTACTGCCTCCCCAGTTACTTACTAGCTTTGTGTCTGCCCTGCCTCCCACCAACCCTATACTCAATCCCAGGCTTCTCCACAGTAAAAACAGGGACAAGTGTGAGGTAGTGATCCTGGAAGACTCTGATGACTATCATGTAATGGAAGACATTATCAGCGAGACCTCAGACAGTGATGGTATCACCGACAATGAGACCATTCATGACATCAAGATCTCTGACTTCATGGAGACCACCGACTGCTTTGAGACTACTGACAATGAGATAACTGACATTAGCGAGAGCCTCTGTGACAGTGAGAGTCCTGACCATAATGAGACCACTGACAACGAGAGTCCTGATGACAGTGAGACCACTGATAATAATGAGAGCTCTGATGACAATGAGAACACTGACAACAGTCAGTCATCAGAGAATCCTGATGACAACAATGAGAACCCTGAAGACAACACTGATGACAATGAAGAGAATACTGATGACAATGATGAGAACCCTGATGGTGATGATGATAACCCCAAAGGTGACAACCATGGCAGCAATGGCAACAACCAGGACAGCAGCGACAGTGACAATGAAGGAGACAATGAGGGCAGTGATGATGAAGATAATGACGGCAATGAAGGCGATAACGAAGGCAGTGATGATGATGGCAATGAAGGTGACAATGAAGGCAGTGACGATGACGACAGAGACATTGAAGATTACAAGAATAACATTGATGACCCTGACAAGGATCAAGATAACAGCAACAAACAGGATGACTATGAGGATGAGGTAGAGAACATCTCTGAAGAATCATCAGTGGAGGAAGAAGAAGAGGGCAGTGAGGAAGGTGAGCCTAGAGCCCCTCTTATTTTCCCTCCTTAGTCTTCTCAGACAGAGAAAAGCTGGCCAGGGTCAGGGTATCAAGGCATGAGTACAATCTGCTCTTGTGGAGAAAAGAAAAAGCATTTTGTGCAACTTGTTAAACAAAGCAAGGCTAGGGAACCTTTGACAAATATAACAGAACCAAAGAAACAAATACCATTTGTAGGTGGTGGGTAGATACTTGTAACAGAGCAAAAGATACATGAAAACTGAAGAGATAAGGAGAAGGTGGGTAGAAAAGGAGGACAAGTTCACACACAGAAAGGGGAAAAATGGCAAACACATTATAATTTAGCACACTCTACACCCAGCCCAGGGCTTCAGGGAACTCCCAGGCTTGTTTTGTCTTCTGAGGATCCTTCACCAGTCCTAAAAGCTTCTCACAAAAAGGTCCAATAATCAGATATGTTGGGAACATACTGCATACATTAATATAGTCAGGTAGGGTGACGTGTATATTAGTACCTTAAAGGCTCTGAAAAGTCCTGCTATGAGAAACCTATTTAAATATTGTGGATCTCAGCATTTCCCTAATTTCTTGACCACAGAAGCCATTGTTCACTATTCACTGAAGCATGCATTTTAGGAAATGCTAAGAAAGGTTTGCATATGGGGTTTGAGGGAAAAGGCAGTATTTAAGGTGACTACCAGGTTTGGTCTGGCCTGGATGACTGGACTGGCAAGCAGAGGTGCCATTTCTTAAGATGGGAAATGACATGGTGGCAGGAACGTGGAGTTGGAAAGGCTTGTTGGACATAAGATATAGGTAGCCCAGGCAGGTGATTGATTATATGTCTGGGAAGTCAGAAGAGGTAAATAAAGGGGTAAAGCCAGAGCAGAATCCTAGTGTTTACTATGTGCCAGGCACTATTCTAAGTGATTTACTTAATGAACTCATTTAATCCTCACAGCAGCTCTTATGAGGTAGGTACTATTATAGATGAAGAAACTGAGGCTCTGAGAGGGTAGAATTAGGAAAATACCTGGGTCATGGAGCGTTCTCAGAAGGAGGGGATTGTCAGCAGTATTCAGTGCTGCTGAAAGACTAGGTAAATGAGGACTGGGATGTGTCCGTTGGATTTGGAACTAAACAGATTATCTGTGACCTTGGCAAGATTAGTTTCAATGGATTAGTGGGGTCAGGGTCAGACCACAGTGGGGTAGGGGGAGGTAATGAGCAAGGGGCAAGGCAATGGAGTCAAACCTTAGCTAGGAAGGGGACGATGGAGTGTGGGTAAGAAGATGTTTGAGCCAGACTGTGGGCAGGCTGACTTTGGAGAGGCAGGCTCCTGGGGGAGATAGAAGGAGCTGGAAGGCCAACCATTCCTGGGGGTTTTGGCCATGGGTTCTCTGGCAAATTTCCATTGAGAGCAAGGGCAAGGAAGGAGGCACTGAATAAGAGTAGATTCAATCTAGACATGTATTCAGTTAGAGTAGGGAAACTGAGGGAATTGCCCCCAGATGGCATCTTTGAGAGAAGGGGAGGAAGAGCTATCTGCCCATCTCCAGAGTGGGAGTGGGGGTGGGGAATTGGACTAAAGAAGACAGACTGGGGTCTGTTTGGATCAGACTATGGAGAAGAAGCGGGGGAGCTGCCTTGAAATGAACAGTAGGTTTATTCAGCTGAGGTCAGAGCTCAGGAAAACACACACATTGACACATTACATGGAGAGAAAAAGCTACTTTCAGAGATGTATCAATTTTGATAGGCCAGAGGCAGGGAGCCCACCCTGCTTTTCTGCTTCCCTTCTACTCCTCCCTCACCCCCTACTTGCTTGAATACACACACACACACACACACACACACACACACACGCGCGCGCGCGCGCGCAGATGCACACAGTGGTGTTTGTTCCAAACAGGTGCTTGGCTAGTGTTCCAGGTCCCCAAAGCCCTGGCTATGGGCTCTGTTCCCCGTGAAGAGTGGTATCTTCCAGCTTCCAGAACTGTGAGAAAATAAATTTCTGTTGTTTAGACAAATAACAAAAAAAGAATGACATCTACCTGCTCATCTAATCACCCTCCTTGCTTGCCTCTCTCCCCCTGTGCAGACAGCGAACAAGAAGGTGAGGAGAGTGATAATGAGGAAGGAAGTGATGAGGAGGAGGGGATTGAAGAAGACTCAGAAGGAGGGGAAGACTCTGAAGGTTCCGACATGGAGGAGGTGCTTCAGGTCCAGAACGTTTGGGCCAACCCGGGGAAGAGGGGCAAAACTGGATAAACATTTTACCTTTGCAGGGGCTGCCTCTCTGTATCCCTCTCCCCCCTCCCCATTTGCCCTCCCCCTCAGCTAGGGCCGCGCGGCCCCACATTGCACTTCTGGGGGGTGACCGACTTCGTACACGGGTTTAAAGTTTATTTTTATGGTTTAGTAATTGCAGAATTCTTATTTCGGGGGGGAGGGAAAGGGGGATTTCCCCCTTCCTTTTGGCCCTCCTCCCCTGCAGGCTTCTGTGTGCTGCTACACGTATTTATTGTGATGCCTTGGTCAGGGCCCCTCTATCCCCCTCCTCGTGCTGTGTGGAGTGGACACCCTTGATCCCGAAGCGGGGAGGGCCGCTGTGGCCTTGGGGGGCTCTGCTGCCACCCTGTTCTCCCAAGCCTCTTTCCCTCCGTCCCTCGCCCCCTCCCCCACGCTGTGCCCGCAAGCCCGCCAGCCAGCCTTGGTGGTGTCTATGCAAGGCCGCTTGTCATTGCGGTATTCCTGTCCCCCTCCCCCAGAAGCCCCTCCTTGTTCCTTGTGAACCTAATCCTAATAAAATTCTGAGCAAATTGAAAGTGCTGCTTCCAGTCTTTTGTCCCGCTTGGTGAGCCATCCCGAGGACCAGTTTCCCTTCCACAGACCCTCAAATCGCTGTCTCTTCTACGTGCTGGGCTGCAAGATGGTGGTGTGCTTGGGGCGGGGGGGGGGGGTGTTTAGCTTTCTAGGGGAGAACTCCGCAGGCCGCAGAGGTGTTGCGTCAGACCAATGCGGACCGTCCTGGCCAATGGCAGGGCGAGGCTGAGAAAGCCCCACCCCCCTACCAGTGGCTGCAGTGGACCCGGGCAGGTAGCAAACAGCTTCCCAAGCCTTCCCTTCTCGCGCAGGCGCACAGAAATACCCTGCGCCCTAGAATACCCATTTGTTCACTGATTCATCTTTTTATTTATCGTGCGTCAAACCTTTCCTCAGGCCTACTAGTGTGAGCTGGGCGTGAGAAGGCATTGGAATCCATTTTTCTTGTTTGCATGTAGTATTTAAAAAATGATAATCTGTTGAGACGTTTACATCCTAATAATGCAGGAATACTCTCGTTTTATTTATTTATTTTTTAATACTCTCGTTTTAGAGAGAGGGTGCAGGATCCCAGGAACTGGGCTTAGAAGAGAAGGCAAAAAAAAGGCTCGAGCCAAAGAGTGCATAGAGAGGGAAAAGCAAAGGGAAACTACTATGTAGCTGTGTGATTGGGGAGGGGTGGTTGGGGTCAGGAGGTGGGCGTCTGAAAGCCGACCTTGGAAAGGCCAAGTTTTAGATTTTGGATACAGTACCTTTATTTCGGCAGACACCAGAAATACCTACAGATTCTTTGTAGCTCATAAAAATAATTTATACAAATACCTAGATTAGCCTTCTGCAATATGCCTTCCGAATTTTCCATCCAACGCCCATGTTTTAATGGAAGACTTCAGACACGGTCAGATTTCAGTTTTAGAGAATGCCCTCTGCTGGATGCCAGAAGAATGGATTGGAGGGAGGGAGAGCAATGAGGAAGTTGACGCTATTCCTCAGGTGAGAGAGGTATAATGGGTGGATTTGGGAGTTTTTTTAAAATACGTTTTTCATTTTAAAAGTTTTATAGAGTTATTGTGAAGGTAGTACAGAGAGTACCCATATACCCCACAGCCAGTTTCCCCCATTGTTAACATCTTGCATTAGTATAGTACAGTTGTCACAATTAATGAACCGATATCAATACATTATTATTATTAAAGATTTTATTTATTTATTCATGATAAACACACAGAGGCAGAGACATAGGCAGAGGCTCCATGTAGGGAGCTCGACGTAGGACTCCATCCCAGGACCCCGGGACCATGCCCTGAGTGGAAGACAGATGCTCAAACACTGAGCCCCCCAGGTGTCCCTCAATACATTATTATTAACTAAACTCCGTACTTTATTCAGATTTCCTTAATTTTTAATGTAATTTTTCTGTTACTGGATGCCATCCAGAATATCATGTTACATTTAGTTGTCATGTCTCCATAGTCTCCTCTTGGCTCTAACTGACTGTTTCTCAGACTTCCCTGGAATCATCAACATTTGAGCAATGCTCGTCAGATATTTTGTAGAATGCCCCTGAATTGGGATTTGTCTGATGTTTATTTTCTCATGATTAGATTGAGGTTATGGGTTTGGGGAAGGAAGACCACAGAAGGAAATTGCCATTCTCATATCAAGGGTACATGCTATCAATATGCCTTATCACTGTTGATGTTAACTCTGATCACCTGACTGAGGTAATAGTCTATGTCAGGCTTTTCCACTGTAAAGTTACTCCTCCCCACCCCCAACCCCCTTTCCATACCCTACTTTTTGGAAGGAAGCCACTAAATGTAGCCCATGCTTAGGGAGTGGGGTGTTAAGCTCCATCTCCTTGAGGGGGGAAGAATCTATATAAATTAATTGGAATTCTGCATGAGAAACCTGTCTATGAAAGCTTTTTAGATGCTGGAACCAATGGGCTTTAGATATGGGAAAAGAGGGGACTGAGAAGCATCAGGGATGACTGCCAGGTTGTTGTGGGACCTTTGGCAAGGCCCCTTCCCTCTCTGGGCCACCTCTATGAAATAGTTGGAATACCAGATCTTGGATATACTCTCATGATTCTGATAAATGTTTTGGGGGAGATCCTGATGCATCTGGTTCTGACCTGGGACTGCACTGTCAGAAGTGGATAGAGGAGACTCTGGCCTGTAAAGGAAAACATGTTGCTTCAGGGCCAGAGCTCAGAGTGCAGAATCCTGAGTCAAAGGCATCTTGTGCAGAGGGAGGAGATACCTACATGCAGTATCAGGAGCCAGTCCCAATGAGCAGGTGGTGACATCGTGGGGAAAACAGCAGGGGCGAAGGGCCTTGAGTTGGCCAGGAGAAGAGGTCACCCTAGCAAGAGGATCCCAGCCAATCTGAGAGACAGATGGCCTGGATATCCTTCCTTCAGTGTGCTCTGCCTCACAATGATTCCATCACCCTCACTAGAGGGCCTGAGTTTTCCCATCTTCAGACTTAGGTTAATCTTACTGGAGGACCAGCCTGGGAGAAGCAACCTGCCTAGGATTCCAAGATGGAGACTAGTCTTGAAACAGACCTCTGAAGCCTGGCCCTCATCATGCTCTTCCCTGATTCTTCTCTGCTCCCTAATCAAATCCCCAGCCCCTCATCCTGGCATTTGAGGCTCCTTTTCCCTCACCCTATCAGAGACCCACCCTCTGGCTTCAGGAACACTGTTAGGAGCCCATTTTAGGATTCTAATGTAGTTTGCTAGGGTGCTCATGTTTTGTGTTAAGGCACGGGAGGAGATGTTCTTTACCTAGAGTGACATCTTTTCCCTGTGTGCTCACTCCTCACTGTGTGGTGTGGTTTCAGGTCCTGCCCAGTCTTGGCCTCCAAAAGGAAGAGCTGTTCTCAAAGGTCTTTAAGGTCACATCCAACTCCAAAATATAGTCTTTGCAGAAGACCAGAGAAGACAGGCCCCCTTTGCTGGGATCCTAAACAGAAACCAGGAGGACCAGGTGGAAGATGAGGAGTCAAGGGTGCAATGAGCCCCAGGGCCTGTTCCCATGGTGAAGCTACTTGTCTTTGTGTCCTTCACAACTTATCCCACTCCTCTGCAGCAGAGGGCCCTGCTCCCAGAGGTGAGGTTCCCAGGGACCAGGTTCTCCTGGGACCAGAGTTTTAAAGTTCCACCCACTTCTGTGAACAAAGGCATATTGGCAGGGACAAAACCAGATTCGGCAAAATCCCTCCTTCCCAGGTGACCAAGAGTGCCAGCACTGGCTCTCTTGGTTGATTGGAGGGTGGTTGGGGAGGAATTCCACTCATTCAGTAAACATTTATTGAACACCTACTGTGTATCTAATACTAAACTGGGTGATAGGGGTTCAATAAAGAAACATGATAAACCAGGTCTATCTTCCTTCCCAGAGTTTAAGACAATTTGTGCCATGGACCTGTTTGATGATCTGGTGAAGCCTATGGACCTTTCTTTAGAAAACAATGTCTTTTAAATACATAAAATACCTAGAGTTACAAAAGAAACTGACTATATTGAAATATAGTTATTAAAATATGGAAAAAGCAAATATGTGCTATGATAATATATGTGCTCCTCACTAATCCCTTAAATCATAAGATTTAGTGGAGGGTCTAATGACTATCATAATATTAAAATAGAGGTGAGATACATGATATTTCAGCAGATCTACAACATCTATAATGCGATATGAAAATCTGTGATTTCCAAGACACCTGGGTGTTTCAGCGGTTGAGTGTCTACCTTTGGCTCAGGATGTGATCCCAGGATCCGGGATTGAGTCCTGCATCGGGCTCCTTGCAGGAAATCTGTGTCTCTGCCTCTCTCTCTGTCTCTCATGAATAAATTAATAAAATCTTTAAAAAAAGAAAAGAAAATCTGTGATTTCTATTGGTGACAGAATCACAAGTACTACTACTATGTTACATTCTTTACTGAAAAAAATGCTAAATTTCAATCAGAGTAAGTAAAGATGTGTATATTTTTCCCATCCAAATTCATGCACCCCTCCAAACCCTGTCCCTGGACTGGATTGGAAATCATCAACCCAAATTAAGAACCCCTGATAATAGAAATGTCCTTCCTGGGTCGCCTGAGTGGCTCAGTCTGTTAAGTGGCTGCCTTTGGCTCAGGTCATGATCACAGGGTCCTGGTATCAAGCCCTGCATCAGGCTCCCTGCTCAGGGGGACCCTGCTTCTCCCTCTGCCCCTTCCCCTGCTCATGTTTGTGCCCATGCTCTCTCTCTCTCAAATAAATAAATAAAAATCTTTTTAAAAAGAGAAATATTCTTCCTCTCTCTCCTTCCTTCTTAAATAGCTTTCCTTTGGAGGACAGAACTTGGGTTTTATTCAGGGTCTTATTGCTGAGTGACCTCAAGCCAATCAGTTTGCTTCTTTGAGCCATAGTTCCCTCATTCTGAAACAATGGGAAAGGCAAGAATTAAGAGGAGAGACCTTAACTATATATGCTCCAGGCAATTATTTTGTGTATTCTCAATCCTCACAATGGCCTTGTTAGGAAAGATTTTAAAAGTATCTTCCCATGTCACAGATGGTTAAACAGAGGCTCCTAGCAAGGTTGTCGCTTGACCAATGTCTTAGCAGCAGGGGCTGGTGGGTGACTGGCCAGCCCCCCATAACCACCTCATTCTCCAGGGATGAAATTAGGAACTACGCTTATTTTGAGCAAAAGAAATCTGGCTCAGAAATCCCTACAGGTGGCGGATAAAGTGTCTCTTAGCAGAGCTTTGTCTTACACGAGGTGGCTTACAGAGAGTAAGACGTCAAGAAGCCGAGGATCAACGATTGTTCAGTGAGTGACTCGCGCTCAGCCTACTTTGGGCTTCGCGTCTGCGTGTTCCCAATTCCCGAAGCCCTGTCAAACAGACTGGCAAAAGGCAATGACAAGTCCTCCTCTCCTGGCCAATCCTATAAAAGGGTGGGCTTGGCTCATAAACCAATCAGAGACCCCCAAGGGGGCGGAGTTTTCTTTGGCCTGGATCTCTGCCTGAGAGGTAAAACTAAAATGTTTCCACCTCCAGCCAATCCCAGAGAAGGCAGGAGGGCACTCCTCCAATGGGAGCCCGAGAGCGGTCAGTGGCTGTGGAGGCCTGCTACCCGCGCTAGCTCTCCAGCCCGCTGGAGGGACGCGTCCAGGGTATTCACTAGATCCAGCCGCTGGCCCCTTGAATCTGCTCCCCCTCAGCAGCGGTGGCGCGGAGGGCAGGAGGTGTCTGGTGAGACGCTATAAAGATGGGGGTTGGGGACGTGAGGGAAAGAGGCCGGGCTGGATCGCATGAGATGTGGGGCCTGGGCGAGCTTTTACCTGGGCGGCCTCTTAACCCTAGGTCAGCGGGTATCGGAGGATCGTGCGGGTAGCAAAGGGATGGCGAGTGCCCCTGCAGCCCCAGACAACAACCAGGTGAGTACCCCCGCGGAGCTCATTACCCATGCCCACCCCTGTCTCTTGGGAAAGGGTTCTGTGCAGGTCTGCAGCTCACGTGATCATCTGCATGCCTGTAAGTCTCCATCTCTCTGCCGCTCCTCTCCCTCTCCATCTTTCTGTGTGTCTCTGTATTTCTCCCTGTTTCCTTCTCTGAGACATACTAGACAGCTCAGACCTAGAAGGCTGAACCCTGACCCTGCCAATTAAAACAAGCCATGAGACCTTGAGCCATCTGCATCACCTGTATGGGCCTCAGTTTCTTCATCTGTCAAATGGGAGTCTAATAATCTCCACCTGAGAGAATATATGTGCATCACTTTGCCCTCTGCCGGGCCCCTAGAACATTTTCAATAAATCATGACTGTCGTGACTGAAAAAAAACCTCTCTTGGTCTTTGGCTTTGTATTCTCCCTGTCTCTGACCCACTCTCATTGATTCTTCTTTCTGAATGCTTCTTTTTTCTGTTCCTGTTTTTCATCTTTCTGTCTCTTTCCCATTTCTAAGCAGATTAGAGGTGCATTGTTTATAGCAATGAGTTAGGCCTTAGAGCTTAGCCTGGGTCTCTAGACTGTTCTGTGGTGTGTGTGTGTGGGGGGGTGTGGAATGGAGCCTGGCCTTGGTCTGCTTCTGGCCTCACTGTAGAGAGAACCTTCTTTGTTCCTCACCTTACTGTGTTAAACAGGCAGAAACCTCCAGAGTGGGAAGCAACTTAGATGAAAAAGTGAACCAGGCCCTTTATCCTTTATAATTTTTTTCACCACCAGAAGACCAGGATTCTCCTAGTTACATCTCCACACAGCCCTGAATTCCCTCTTTTCTGTCTCCATCCTGAAATTCTTTAACCAGGCCTTCTGGAACTCACCGTCAGGCGTCAGCGAAATCTTCATCCTCACTCTGGCTTCTGAACAATTTCTTTGTTGTCTTGTCATGCCTTAATGGTTCTCATACCTATTGGACCCAACATTCCATTTTTATAATTTATATTTTGAAATTCTTTCACTATTCTGAAATGAAGTGCATAGAGAACAGAATCTGCCTACACACATAATCCCTCCCCAACAAATGTAATGTCCTAATTGTAATATAAGAAGGAAGCAAGGGAAGAGTAATTTCTAATAAAACAGTATGTATTTCAATATGTAAAGACTAAAATATAATTTTACTAGAAGACATAATGAATGGTCTTGCATGTAATGATACTTGTATCTGGGAATGTGACACATATGTGTTGATTGCTGACTTAGAAACCATGATGATGTGATTTTCCATGTCATGAATAATTCTTCATAAAGTTTTAAACAAAGTGCAATCCTCCTTCAATTTGTTGAATTTCTGGAAAAGTCAGTACATATTAAAATCCATGATCCGGCCTCCATAACTTCTCTGACCTTCTCTCCTACCATTCTCCCCATTTGTTCCCTCTATTCTACCCATACTAGCCTCCTTTATGATACTTGAACATTGTAGGCACACTTCCACCTCAGGTGTTTGTACTGGGCCATCCCCTGGACCTAGAATGCTTTTCCCCCAAATATGTACAAGGCTCATGACCTCACTTCCTTCAAGTCTCTATTAAGATGTCACTTTCTCAATGAGGCCTACCCTGACCATACTGTTTAAAATTACCACTCTCCCCTAAGATATACCCCAACCTATTTTTTCCATACTACTCCTCACCCTCTTCAATAATGTATCATCAACACCTTCACTGTGTTTGCTGTTTATTGTTTGACTCTCCTACTGGACTGTAAGCTCCAGAAGGGCAGAGATTTTTGTCTTTTCTGTGCTTGATGTACCCCTATTACCTAAAAACAGTGCTTAGCCTATAATAGGCACTCTCGATAGATGTTTGTTGAATGAATAAATGAGTGAAATGAACAGGTTTTTCACTGAGATTATTGTCTGGTGGGACATTCTAAAGTTGTATGGGATGCAGTACAATTTTTTGCTGTGTGGTGCTGTCTTGTGCACTGTGGGATACTGAGCACTCCTGGTCCATGGCCACTAAATGTCACTAGTGATCTCCAATTACTGTGATAATCAAAAATGCCCCCAAACATTCCTTGACTGTCCATGCCCCTGCTGAGAACCATTGCTCGAATAGAAATTGGCTTTCCCCTGAGCATGCTGCTCACCAGGAGCCCCCTCATATCCCTCTTGCCAGGAGGCCAAGAGGTGAAGGTAGGTGTCCTCAGTCTAATTCACCTTCCCAGACACTTTCTCTCTTCCCTCCTCAAACAACTTTCCTTTTAGAATTTAAAAAAAGCGGGGGGATCCCTGGGTGGCTCAGCGGTTTGACGCCTGCCTTTGGCACAGGGCGTGATCCTGGAGTCCCGGGATCGAGTTCCACGTCAGGCTCCCGGCATGGAGCCTGCTTCTCCCTCCTCCTGTGTCTCTGCCTCTCTCTCTCTCTCTCTCTGTCTATCATAAATAAATAAATAAATAAATAAATAAATAAATAAATAAATAAATAAATAAAATTAAAAAAATAAAAAAGAATTTAAAAAATTGTTTTAAAGTAATTTCAGATTTAAAAAGTTGTAGAAATAAGACAAAGAATTCTCATATCTCCCTTCACTCAGATTCTTTAAGTGTTAATAAGTTATTCAACTCTTGTTCAATTCTCAAAATTAGAGAGTTTATCTTGATAAAATACTATTAATGAAAGTATAGAACTTATTCAGATTTCATCAGTTATCCCACAAATATAATTTTTCTCTTCTAGGATCTAATTCAGGATTCCACAGTGCATTTAGTTGTCATGTCTCCTTAGGCTCTTCCAATCTGGGACAGTTCTTTAGTCTATCTTTGTCTCTCATGACTTTGATACCTTTTTTTTTTACTTTGATACTTTTGAAGCATTCTGCCCAACTATTTTACAGAATTTGGGTTTGTCTGATGTTTCTTTGTGATTATAGTTAAGTTATGTGATTTTGGCAAGAATACCACAGAAGAGATGTGTCTTCAGTGCTTTATATCAAAAAGCACACGATATCAGTTTGTCTTGATACTAGTTTTATTCACTTTGACTATTTATTTATTAAGGTGATGTCTGCCAGGTTTCTCCAGTATGGTTACTCTTTTATCCTTTGCTTTTTTATTTTTTATTTATTCCTTTGCTTTTTTAAAATATTTTTTATTTTTTTATTCATCAGAGACAGAGAGAGAGGCAGAGACACAGGCAGGGGGAGAAGCAGGCTCCATGCAGGGAGCCTGACACGGAACTCGATCCCGGGACCCCGAGACCACGCCCTGGGCCGAAGGCAGATGCCAAACCGATGCCAAACCGCTGAGCCACCCAGGGATCCCCCTCTTTTTTCCTTTGTAATAAGTAATTTGTGGGGGATACTTTAAGATTATGTAAATATCAACCACCTTGTTTGGGTTTTTTTTTTTTTTGAGAGAGAGAGAGGGAGTGGGGGAGGGGCAGAGAGAAAGAGAGAGAGCGAGAACTCTAAGCAAGCTCCACACCCAGGGTGGAGCCCAACATGGGACTGTATCTGACCCTGAGGTCATGACCTGAGCCAAAATTGCGAGGCAGACACTCAACCGACTGAGCCACCCAGGCGTCCCACAACCACCTTGTTTTAAATCTCAGATCATCACACTATACCATTACCCACCCATCTGTGTTATAGTCAGGTACAGACATACACACATACCTGCCCCAGTCATACTTAATTCCTAGAATTTAGCTGTCAGCTCACTGACACTTTTGAACACTACCCCAGTCCCACTTCTCGGGTAGTTTAATATCCTCATAGATGATCCTTCCAATGTTCCTCTTTCTCAGTTCTGTGATCTGCTTTCCTTTAACGCTTTTGCCTTTCGATCCTCCCACAGCCACCCTCTACAACAGTCTTAACCCCTCTTATCAGTACCTATGACTGCATCGCCTCCATACTCTGCTTCAGGCATCCTGTCATCCAGCCAGTGCTTCTTATCCTCTAGTGTACTCTGTACTCTGACCCCTCAACTCCAATGATCCCTCAACACCACCAAGATGGAACATTTTCACTACCCTTTACTTCCTCCCTGTTCATGTGTCCTTCCTTTAGCTAGCCTCGATTCCAAGGTCCATCATGGCAATTATTCCCTTGCATACATCCTTACTTCCTTGGCCCTCTGTACCTCAGCCCATCTATAGGGCAGAACCCCAGTCCTGGTTAAATCCAACTCTCTGCCGGCTCCACTGCTCTTCCCTGGCTATTCGCTCTCCTACCTTCCTGGTTGACTATTTTGTTATCTTCTTTGTCTTCAAATCTCCTGCTACCGCTTCTTCCATCCTTTGCTCAAGCTGCCTACTTGACTGAGGGATTAAAACCATCAGAAGAAAACCTGCATAGATTCCCATCATCACATCTCACCACCAAACAGCATCTGTATTCACAGATTCTGCCTTCTTCTCTGTTATTACGGATAAATTGGCCCTGCTGTCACAAAAATCCAGTCCCTCTACTTTGGCACTAGATTCCACCCTCTTATACCTACTTGAAGACATTGCTTCATCAATTTCCCCCTCTCTATGAGATCGTTCCCATTAGCACACAGACATTCTGCTCTTGTTCCCATCTTTTTGTTATACAGCCTTATTGAGATATATTTAATATCACAAAATTCGCCCTTTTAAAGGATACTGTTCAGTGTTCTTTGTATATTCGCAGAATTGCTGCACCCATCACTACAATTAATTTTAGAACATTTTATGCACCCCAAAGAGAAGCTTCCTACTCATTAGCAGACACACCACATTCCTCTGATCCCCGCATAACCACTAATCTTCTTTCTGTCCCTATCTATTGATTTGTCTAGTCTAGACGTTTTATTTTTATTTTTAAAAGATTTTATTTATTTATTCATGAGAGACACAGAGAGAGAGAGGCAGAGACACAGGCGTAGGGAAAAGAAGGCTCCATGCAGGGAGCCTGACGCGGAACTTGATCCCGGGACTCCAAGACCATGCCCTGGGCCGAAGGCAGATGCTCAACCTCTGAGCCACCCACGCATCCCATAGTCTAGACATTTTATATAAATGAGATCATATAATATATTGGTCTTTATGACTGACTTCTCTCAGCATAATGTTTTTGAGGTTCATCCATGTTATTGATGTAGTGTTCCTTTTTACTGCCAAATAATATTCCATTATATGGATATGTTGCATTTTGTTTATCCTATCCATTTATCAGCTGATGGACATTTCAGTTGTTTCCATGTTTGGCATTACGAATAATATTGCTCTGAACATTTCTGCACAAGTCTTTTTTTTTTGTGGACGTGTGTTTTCTTTTCCCTTTGGTGGACACCTAGGAAGTGGAATTGCTTGGTCCTATGGTAAATCTATGTTTAACTTTTTGGGGAACTGTTTGCAGAAGTGCCTGCACCATTTTGAATTCCCATCAGCAATGTATGAGGGTTCCAATTTATTCATATCCTCACCAACACTTTTTACCGTCTGTCTTTTTCATTATAGCCATCCTAGCGAGTATGAAGGGGTACTTCATTGTTTTTGATTTGCACTTCCCTAATAACTAATAATGTTGAACATCTTTTCATGTGTTTATTGACTATTTGAGTATTTTCTTTGGAGAAATGTCTATTCAAATCATTAGCCCTTTTAAAATTAGATTGTCCTATTGTTGAGTTGTAAGTGTTCTTTATATGTTCTGGACACAGGTCTCTTGTCAGATATGAGAGTTACATATATTTTCTCCTATTCCGTGAGTTATCTTTTGACTTTCTTGATGGTGTCCTTTGATGCACAAAAGTTTTTAATTTGAGGAAAGTCCAATTTGTCAATTTTTTGTCGTTTGAGTATTTTACATCATAGCCCAAGAAAGCACTCCCTGACCCAAGGTCACCAAGGTTTCTTCCTGCTTTTTCTTCTAGGAATTGTATGGTTTTAGCTCTTTTTTTTTTTTTTAAGAGCTTAGAAAGTGTATTCCTTTTGTTCTTTTCCTTTGAAATAACACACGCAGGCGGGAGATGGGACACGGTGGAGCGGGGGGTGGGGAGGGCGGTGAGGGGAGGTGGAAGCCATGGGGGGGTCCTCCAGCCCCCCCAAACAACCCAGTTCCTCTTTTGCAGTTCTTTAATGGGGTTCCCCAAGGACTTGGGAGGAGTAAAGGGAGGGGTCCCCCAATGATGCTAAGCTCAGAATCCAACTATAAAGTGCAGAATGTACAGGGGAGTCGGGGGGGCTGGGGGGCTTGGGTTATCTGCGGGGGAGGAATGTCTGATGCTCTCTGGTAGAAAAATAGACCTGGAGTGAGTCCGGGGGATTTGGTTTGTTTGTTTTGCATAATTGGATGCTGGGCTCCAGGGAAGAGCTGTGTAGACTTGCTTCTGGCTGGGGTGTGTTTAGGGGAGTCCCCTTAATGTGCCCCCGGCTTCAGGCTGCCCCCTTGCCAGCCCCACAAAAAGCGTGACTGGAGGTTATCATCAGCCTGAAGGTGGGAAGGGAATGGAAGATACCACAGAGCATTGTGGGGGGAGGGGCAGTTTGCCCATAGGGCCAGAGGCGTGTCCACACTGGGCAGGTGAAGGGGTGTCCAGCCTCTGTCTAGGGCATGGGAGGGGCATCTCCTTCCCCAGCTGCCGGCTTCTAGCTGCGTCAGGACTTTGGACAAGTCCCACGGGTTTTCTGGAAGCAGGAGGCCAGGACCTAGGCTTCCTTCCCACAGGCTCCTTGGGCCCTGGGCTCTAGGGTGCATCTGGGGCAGGGGCACGGGGGACCCAGGATGCTGTGATTGGCCTATTGGGATCTATCTAGACTTGGAGTCTGAGGCATTCAGGATCCAGTGCCTGGGAGGATTCCGATCAGAATCCAGGGGTTAAGGGGCTGGGATCCAGTGCTTGGAAGGGTGGGGGTCTACCTCCTATGGGTGAGGTTTCAGCATCCAGTGCCTGCGGTGGAAGGATCTGGGGTCCAACAGCCACAGTCGCCAGGACCCACTCACTCCTCTGTTGGGCTCTCATATTGTGATTTTAGGAGCCAGGGTCCGGCTGGTCAGGGCTTGGGAATCCGAGATCCGGTGGTTGGGGTTTGAGGGTGTAGTGGTTGAAATGTAGGGAATCCAGTAGTCAAAGCAGAGGGATCCAGGACTCAGTGTCAAGGTAAAGGAATTCAGGAATCCAGTGGTTGGGGTGAGGGGAGCTGGGATCCAGTGGCTGGGGCCCCGGGATCTAGGCATTGCATTGTCAGGATCCGGTGGCTGAGGCTTCTTGATATCCAGAATCCAGTGGCCGAGCTTAGAGATCCAGGGCTGGAGGAAGCATGAGGATCTGGGATCCGCCAGTGGTTTTGGGGATCTAGGACCCAGTGCTGGATCTGGGGCCTGAGTGTTTAGGCATGGTGATGGGTACTCACGGTGATGGGTACTCCTGTGGTTGGGTTATCAGGATCCATTAGTTGGGTTGTGGGGGATCCCGTGGTTAAGTCACGGAGGTCCAGGACCCCGCATGTGGGGGGCCAGTCGTTGTGATGTGGGGGTGCAGGACCCAGTGAATAAAGTGTGGGGATCCTGTGATTTGGTGTGCGGGGGCCCTGGGGTCCATTGGCTGGGCCATCAGTCTCCAGTGGCCAAGGTGTGGGGGATGTCATGATTGGGGTGAGGGAACTGGGGTGGGTCAGGCTCTGGGTCCCTCACCTGGACGTGACCCCCAGGGCCTGCTTCATGTTCTCGTAGACCACATAGGAGATGCTCACAGCCGGGATAACTTTCATGAAGTTGGGGGCAATGCCCCGGTAGAGGCCCCACACGCCCTCCTGGGACAGGATGTGACGGAGCAGACCCAACATGGAGAGCTGGGGGGCGCCCTCGATGGAGGCTTGGGCCTGCATGCGGGTCCGGACCAGGGCCAGGGGGTAACTGGCTATCTGGCCACAGGTGCTGGAGATGGTGCCGCAGGCCAGGAGCACGAGGATGCCTGGGTTGGCCGAGTCGCGGCTGTACTGCTGGAGCCACCGGTTCTTCAGGGTCTCATAGACGGCCAGGTCGATGCCCGCGTAGGGGATGATGCCCAGCACGTTGGGCAGGTAGCCTCGGTAGAAGGCGCGGGGCCCCTCCCGCTCCAGGATCTGCCACGCACAGTCCAGCAGCCCCTTGTACTGGCCGGTCTGGCGCAGGGTCAACCGCGTCTTCAGCACCTCCATGGGGTAAATGATGGTTTGGGCCGTGGCACCAGCTAGGGAGCCAGCCACAAAGCGCTCCTGCACGTGCAGGGTCTCCTGCTGCCCCCGAATGGCCCGTTTGATCTGCTCATAGGCCATGAACTTGATAGCCGACTCAGGTGCAATCTTGAGCACGTTAATCCCATTGCCACGCCACAGGGAGCGCATGCCCCCCTCTCGGATCATGCTCTTTAGGCCTCCCAGGATGTTTAGCTTGTTGGTCTTGGATGCATGGACCTGCATGAACACCTTGAGGCGGTCCAGAGGGGCTGTGCCCGTCGGCGACACAGCACCTGCCACTGCGCCCGCCACCAGCTGCTTCCACCACATGCCAGTTAGCTTCTCCTGCTCCGAAAACTCATCAGGGACAGTCAGGCATTCACCAATGTCCAAGACCGTAGAATGCTTCCAGAAATAGACTACATCCTCCACATTCTCCAGTGAATGCAACAGGAAGTGGTCACGCCATTCCTGCCAGTCTATGGTCATCGTGCCGTCACGGTCCATGCTGTGCAGAATTTTCTCTGCTTGCTCCAGTGAGATGGAAATGCCTAGAGCTCGGAAACTCTGCTGGATCTCAGACACATCGATATGACCATCCTGATTCCGGTCCAGACTGTGGAACAGAAGCAGCAGGCGCTGTTCCCGCTCCTGCAGGTAGCGGCTAAACTCCTCCAGGTCGAGCCCACCACCTGGGTCAGCGTCGCCCTCGGAGGAGATGCCCTGGCTGTTGGGTGTCGCGGTCCGGGTCGCCCCCGGCCAGCCGGGCCAGTCCCTGGCGCAACTCGCGCACGTCCACGCGGCCATCCTTGTTACTGTCCAGCTCCTCGAAGAGGCGACCCCAGCGCTGCCGCCGCTCCGCGTCGCCCGGGCCCCCCCGCATGGCGCCCGCCCGGGGGGGAGGGGAGGCCCGGCGGCGGCGGCCTCGGTGGGGGCTTCGCGGCTCCCCCTACCCCCCGGGGCCCCGCGGGGCCAGCTCCGCGGCCACCGCCACCGCAGCCTCGGCGCTGCCCGCCTGGCTCCGGCACTCGGTTTTAGCTCTTATATTTAGATCAATGATCCGTTTGGAGTTCATTTTTGTGTATGGTGTGAGGCAGAGGTCCACATTTCATTTTTCTGCATATGGGCGTCTGGTTGTCCCAGTACCTTTTGTTGAAAAGAGTATTTTTACCCCTTTTGAATTGTCTTGGAAACCCTTGTCAAAGGTCAACTGACCATAAATCTTAAATGTAAAGGTTAATTTTCTGGATTCTCAGTTCTACTCCATTGATCTGTAGGTCTGTCACTATGCCGGACCATACTGTCTTGATTACTATAGCTATGTCATAACTTTTGAAATCAGGAAATGGGAGTCCTCTAACTTTTTCTTTTGAAGACTGTTTTGACTATTCTAAGTCCCTTGCATTTCCCTGTGAATTTTAGGATCAGCTTGTCAATTCCTGCAGAAAAACAGCTGGGATTTTTATAGGGATTATATTAAATCTATATATCCATTTAGGAAGTATTAAAAAAAAAAGGAAGTATTGCCTTTGGGACACCTGGGTGGCTCAGTAGTTGAGCATCTGCCTTCAGCTCAGGGCGTGATCCTGGAGTTCTGTGATCAAGTCCCACATCGGGCTCCCTGCATGCAGCCTGCTTCTAACCTCTGCCTGTGACTCTACCTCTCTCTGTGTGTCTCTCCTGAATAAATAAATAAATTTTTTTTTATTTTTTAAAATTTATTTATGATAGTCATGCACACACACAGAGAGAAGAGGCAGAGACATAGGCAGAGGGAGAAGCAGGCTCCATGCACTGGGAGCCTGACGTGGGACTCGATCCCAGGTCTCCAGGATCGCGCCCTGAGCCAAAGGCAGGCGCCAAACTGCTGTGCCACCCAGGGATCCCATAAATAAACATTTTTAAAAAGGGAAGTATTGCCTTTGACAATATTAAGCCTTTCAATCCATGAACATGATCTAAATAATTTTTTTCAGAAGTGTTTTTGTAGTTTTTAGTGTACACATCTTGCACTTCTTTTGTTAAATTTATTCCTAGGTGTTTTATTCTTTTTGCTACTATTATAAATGGAATTATTTTCCTAATTTCACTTCCAGAGTGTTCATTGCTAGTTCATAAAAATATATTTGATTTTTGTTTCTTGATCTTAGGTCCTGTCACATTGCTAAACTTATTAGTTCAAATAGTTTTTTAGTAGATTCTTTAGGGTTTTCTATATATAAGATCATGTCATCTGCAAATACAGTTTTACTTTTCTTAATCTGGATACCTTTTCTTTTTCTTGATTAATTGCCCTGACTAGATCTATCTAGTACAGTGATGCCTAGAAGTGATAAGAGTGCACATTCTTATCTTGCTTCTGATCTTAGAAGGTATTGAGTCTTTCTCCATTAAGTGTGATGTTAGTTGTAGGTGTTATATAGATATCCTTTATCAAGTTGAGGAAGTTTCCTTCACCTCCTAGTTTTCTGTTGTCTTTTTGCTATGAATGGATGTTGGGTTTTTTAAAATACTTTTTCTGTGTCTATTGAGATGATCATCTGTTATTTATACTTTATTAATATAGTATATTACATTGGTTAGTTTTCATATGACAAACCAATGTTGCATTCCTTAAATAAATCACCCTTGGTCGTGTTACATAATACTTTTTAAAAAAGATTTTATTTATTTATTCATGAAAGACAGAGAGAGAAAGAGAGAAAGAGAGACAGGCAGTGGGAGAAGCAGGCTCCATGCAGGGAGCCTGATGTGGGACTTGATCCCGGAACTCCGGGATCACGCCCTGGGCCAAAGGCAGGCGCTAAACTGCTGCACCACCTGGGCATCCCCTACATGATACTTTCTATGCACTGCTGGACTTCGTTTGCTAGTATTTTGTTGAGGATTTTTACATCTACATTCATATAGTATATAGGTCTATAGTTTTCTTGTGATGTCTTTGGTTTTAGTATCAGGGTAATACTGGCTGCATAGAATGAGTTGAGAAGTGTTTCTTCCTCTATTTTTGGTAGAGTTTGTGAAGAATTAATATATGCTTTGTTTGTCATTTGTCTTTTCTGTTCCTTTGTTCTTCAGTTCCTTTCTTCTTTTGTGTTAAGTATTTTTTACCTTAACTTTTAAATTTTCTTGTTAATTATATTTTTTTAGATTTTTAATGGTTGCCCTGGGAATTACAATTAAGATCTTAACTGGATATTTGGGCAGCCCCGGTGGCTCAGCGGTTTAGTGCCGCCTTCAGCCCAGGGTGTGATCCTGGAGACCTGGGATCAAGTCCTACGTCAGGCTTCCTGCATGGAGCCTGCTTCTCATTCTGCCTGTGTCTCTGCCTCTCTCTCTATCTCTGTGTCCCTCATAAATAAATAAGTAAAATCTTAAAAAAAAAAAGATCTTAACTGGAAACAATCTATTTCAAATTAATTCTGATTTCAAAAGTAACTTTGTTCTAATATTCCTCTGTTCCCTCTTTCCTTCTTTGTAGTGTTATTATCATATGAATTCCTTCTTACCTTATAAGCCCATCAACACAGTTTTATTATTATTGCTTTATACAGTTGTATTTTAAAACAGATAGGAAAATAAGAGTTAAAAACAAAAATACTTTCTTTCATAATACCTATTTCAAGTTACCATTTAGTGTCCCTTAATTTAAGCCTAAAAGTAGTGTTTCTTGTAGGATAAGTCTGCTAGCAACAAATTATTTCAGTTTTTGTTTATCTTTTATGTTTGAAGAACCAGTTTGGCTAGATACAGAGATTCTGAATTGATAGTCTTTTTCTGTAAATATTTTGAAGATGCCATCACACTATCTTCTGATCTCCATGGTTTCTGATGAGAAGTCAGCTGTTAATCTTATTGAGGGTCCCCTATATGTGATACGTCATTTTTCTCTTGCTGTAGTCAAGATTTTCTTTTTGTCTTTGCTTTCATCAGTTGCACTATGATGTGTCTAGTTGTGGATCTCTTTGAGCGTATTCTACTTGCATTTACTTCTTACGTGTACAGATTAATATTTTTGTTTTTTTTTAATTTTTTTTATTTATGATAGTCACACAGAGAGAGAGAGAGAGAGGCAGAGACATAGGCAGAGGGAGAAGCAGGCTCCATGCACCGGGAGCCCGATGTGGGATTCGATCCCGGGTCTCCAGGATCGCGCCCTGGGCCAAAGGCAGGCGCCAAACCACTGCGCCACCCAGGGATCCCAATATTTTTGTTTTTTTTAAAATATTTTATTTATTCATGAAAGACACAGAGAGGCAGAGACACAGGCAGAGGGAGAAACAGCCTCCCTGCAGGGAGTCCAATGTGGAACTCAATCCCAGGACCCCGGGATGATGACCTGAGCCAAAGGCAGATGCTCAACCACTGAGCCACCTAGGTGCCCCTAGATTAATGTTTTTCATCAATTTGGCAATGTTTTGGCCCTTTCTGTTCCTCTTGCTCTTTTGGTACTCCCATTATGCATATGTTGGTTATACTTTTTTTTAAAGATTTTATTTATTTATTCAAGAAACAGAGAGAGAGGCAGAGACACAGGCAGAGGGAGAAGCAGGCTCCATGCTGGAAGCCTGACGTGGGACTCAATCCTGAGTCTCCAGGATCATGCCCCGGGCTGAAGGCAGCGCTAAACTGCTGAGCCACCCAGGCTGCTCAGTTATTATACTTTCCAACCCTAGATTTTCTATTTGATTCTTTTTGTGATTTCTGTGTCTTCATTGATATTCTCTCTTTGGTGAGACATTGTTCTCAAACTTTTCCTTAATTCTTATAGATATATTTTCTTTTATTTCTTTGAAAATATAGTAATAATTTAAAGTCTTTGTCTATTAAGTTCCAAACATGGACTCCCTCAGGGAAAAGTTCTTTTGGCTGCTTTTTTTATGTGTACGTGTAACATATTTTGCTATTTCTTTGCATATCTCATCATTTTTTGTCAAAAACTGAGCATTTTAAAAAAGCTTTTATTTGTTTAGGTAATCTTTACACGCAACATGGGGCTTGAACACATGACCCCGAGATCAAGAGTCGCTTGCTCTTCCAACTGAGCCAGCCAGGTGCCCCCAAAACTGGGCATTTTAGATACTCTATTCTAACAACTCTGGTATAAACCTCTTCTACCCTCAAGGTTTGTTTTTCTGGGAATATGTGAATGTGTGTGTATGTATGTGTGGTTATCCTTGTTATTTTCCTTATTGCTGTTTAGTTGTTCAGTTACTTTTCTCAACTAATTCAGTGGATTCTATATTCCTTGCACTACGTGGTCTGAGTTCTCTGCTAGCTTATTTTTTAAAACTTCTTGTTTTTATTTTTAAGCCTGGATTGCTAGGAGGTCACACCTGTGTAAGTATACTTTGGTGGTCAGCCAGTGATTGGTTGGATTTCCTTTAAATGTCTTGTCCACGGGGATCCCGGGATGGCTCAGTGGTTTGGCACCTGCCTTTGGTCCAGGGCGTGATCCTGAAGACGAGATCGAGTCCCATGTCAGGCTCCCAGCATGGAGCCTGCTTCTCCCTTTGCCTGTGTTTCTGCCTGCCTCTCTCTCTCTCTCTCTCTCTCTCTCTGTCTTTCATGAATGAATACATAAATTTTAAAAATCTTTAAAAAAATGTCTTGTCCACATGTCTTCCACCCTTTGCCAAGGGGATCTGTGCAAGAAAGCATGCCTTCAAACTTTAGCCAGTTTATTTTTTTTAATTTTTATTTACTTATGATAGTCACAGAGAGAGATAGAGGCAGAGACACAGGCAGAGGGAGAAGCAGGCTCCATGCACCGGGAGCCTGACGTGGGATGCGATCCCGGATCTCCAGGATCGTGCCCTAGGCCAAAGGCAGGCGCCAAACCGCTGCGCCACCCAGGGATCCCACTTTAGCCAGTTTAAAAGG